TACCTTACCCTGAGAGGTGAGTGATCCCTACCCTTCTATCCTTCCCCCCGAGAGGTGAGTGATCCCTACCCTTCTATCCCTACCCTGAGAGGTGAGAGATCCCTACCCTTCTATCCCTTCCTTACCCTGAGAGGAGAGTGATCCCTACCTTACCCTGAGAGGTGAGTGATCCCTACCCTTCTATCCCTTCCTTACCCTGAGAGGTGTGTGATCCCTACCTTACCCTGAGAGGAGAGTGATCCCTACCTTACCCTGAGAGTTGAGTGATCTCTACCCTTCTATCCCTACCTTACCCTGAGAGGTGAGTGATCCCTACCCTTCTATCCCTTACCCTGAGAGGTGAGTGATCCCTACCTTTCTATCCCTACCCTGAGAGGTGAGTGATCCCTACCCTGAGAGGTGAGTGTGACGGTATGTGGGGCAGATATAATCTCAGCCGCATGGAGTGTTTGCTGGGGGGAGGAGTCACTCGTTCTGCTCGGGGACGTAGAACACGCCATCTGCATGTCACATGTGCGGCTCCGGGAACTTCCCTAAACCTGTATGTACATGACGTGTGCCGCCGGCCGCTCGGTGACGTGTTTTATGGCTGAGAGTTCTGTTAGTGACCTGTCATGTGATGTCACCATGCAGACCCCTCCCCCACACTAGATGCAGTGGACCAGTCATGTGATGTCACCATGCAGACCCCTCCCCCACACTAGATGCAGTGACCTGTCATGTGATGTCACCATGCAGACCCCTCCCCCACACATGTGACGCTTTGTCTCTGCGCAGGCTGCGGAGGAGATTTCCCAGCGATGACTTGCAGACCAATCCGGGGTTTGTGCTGAGCGGCGTCGCGTCCCAGCGCAGTCTCAGCGCGGAGAGCTGCAGCGTGAAGGTCTCCATCGTCATCGAGGGCTTCCAGCAACCCGTCACCTTCACCTGTGACAGTGAGTATGAGATCCCAGGGGGAGGGGCCTAACCTGGACAGCCAATCGGATGACTGCTCCCATCCGATGTCGGAATCCTCTCAGTGATAGAATAAATCCTGATCTGTACTTCCTGTCTGTGAGAGGCTGGGATCATCCAATCCTGATGTCAGACTTGGCCCCGCCCCTTCCCACCTCCAAACCAATGTCTGCAGATAGAGAAGTCACCGCTCCAAAGCGCACAGGAAGTGCTGGTGTCCGGAGGCGGGGTCATAGCTGGGAAGGTCACAGGCGGGGCTTCTGTGTGCATGTCCTGAACAATAAAGTTTTACCCAAACACTCGTGGGTGTGCCGCAGCCGCTACCTTGGTTCATACTTAGCCACGTCTGTAGCACTGTATGGGAGCGCCGGGGAGGAGGACGCGCGTTTCTGGGGCGCCGTTTATAAACTGAGCTGCAGAAAACGCCCTCCGGCGGCCATTGCTCCCGCGAATGGTTGTGGTCTGAGATTTTATTGGCCAGCTCAGAGCCAATCAGCATGCTTCTGTACCTTGTGATAGCTGTGAAGTAAACTGTCATTGTTCTCTGTGTCTGGTCCAGTAAGCTCTCCGGTGGAGCTGATCATTATGCAGGCGCTGTGCTGGGTCCACGATGACCTGAACCAGGTGGACATGGAGAGCTACATACTGAAGGTGTGCGGCCAGGAAGAGGTTCTGCAGAAGTAAGTACACCTTGTCTCGGCCCCTCCCACAATGGTGAGATGTCCCCTGTAGTCGGTGTCTCTGCCCCTCCCACAATGGTGAGGTTTCCTCCAGTAGTTTGTGTCTCGGCCCCGCCCACATTGATGAGCTGTCCCCTGTAGTTTGTGTCTCGGCCCCGCCCACAATGGTGAGCTGTCCCCTGTAGTCGGTGTCTCGGCCCCTCCCACAATGGTGAGATGTCCCCTGTAGTCGGTGTCTCGGCCCCTCCCACAATGGTGAGATGTCCCCTGTAGTCGGTGTCTCTGCCCCTCCCACAATGGTGAGATGTCCCCTGTAGTCGGTGTCTCTGCCCCTCCCACAATGGTGAGATGTCCCCTGGGGTCGGTGTCTCTGCCCCTCCCACATGGGCGGCATTGTGTGTGATGTCTGTGTCTTGTCTCTCCGCAGTAAGCATTGCCTGGGCAGTCACGAGTATATCCAGACATGCCGCAAGTGGGACACGGAAATCCGGCTGCAGCTCCTGTGTCAGCGGACGGTATGCAGAGCCATGGCACGCACGGTGAGTGGGCGGAGTCTGCGGTCCGGGCGCTGGGCGCCGCTCAACTATTTCTCATTTCCTGTCCTCGGTGATCGGCTTCCAGTGTATC